TATATCACATACACATGAGACACTCTTCATTTAGTCTATTGATGCTATATCACAAGCACATGAGATACTCTTCCTTTAGTCTATTGAGTCGTTTATATCCATCAGTATATCAAAAAAGAAATAAACAAAAACTTATTTGTGATGTTTGTGAGTTTGCCAAGCATACCAGAAGCTTTTATGTTAATATTGCTAAAATCAGTTCTTATATTTTTGTTTTGGTGCATTCAGATGGATGGCGACTTTGTTCTACAACTTCGATGAATGACTATAGATATTTTGTGATTTTTTTTAATTATTTTTTTTGTGTTGTTTGGTTATATCTGATGAGAAATAAAAATGATGCGCATGTCAGCTTTAAAGATTTTCATAGGGTGATTTAGACTCAATACAATGTTGAAGTGAAGGTATTGAGATATGTTAATGAGACATAATATATACCAACAAAGCGTTTGTGAGACACTCTTCGTTTAGTTTATTGATCCTATATCACAAGCACATGAGATACTCTTCGTTTAGTCTATTGAGTCTTTTATATCTATCATTATATCTAAAAACAAATAAACAAAAACTTATTTGTGATGTTTGTGAGTTTGCCAAGCATACTGGAAGCTTTTATGTTAATACTACTAAAATCAGTTCTTATATTTTTGTTTTGGTGCATTCAGATGGATGGTGACTTTATTCTACAACTTCGATGAATGACTATAGATATTTTGTGATTTTTATTAATTGTTTTTCTTGTGTTACTTGGTTATATCTGATCAGAAATAAAAATGATGCGCATGTCAGCTTTAAAGATTTTCATAGGGTGATTTAGACTCAATACAATGTTGAAGTGAAGGTATTGAGATATGTTAATGAGACATAATATATACCAACAAAGCATTTGTGAAATATTTGTCAGCCTAAGGGATGCATCATGTTCATACACACCGACACAAAACAGAGTGACAAGAAGGAAAAACAGATACTTTCTAAAGGTAGCTCGAAGCATGATGATCACGATGAATGTTCCAAAGTACATGTGGAGAAAACTGTTTTGACAACAGCTCAATTGATCAACAGAATGTCTTTGAGGTACTGGATTGAAAGTCTCATTGTCAGATGTTGAAACACAAAAATAGTGAGATCCTTTCATTGAAGGTATTTGAATGTTTATGTTTTGTGAAAGACAACAGTTCATCTGTAGGGAAGTTGGATTCCAAAACTGTGAAATTTATATTCGTGGGTATTCTGCTACTCAGAAGAATTATATATGTTGTAACTTGATTGAGAAGAGAACTTTCATGAGTATAAATGTGTTATTTAGAGAGTTTGAACCATATTACACTTTAGAGGTGAATTCACACCACCGAAGATATGGGGCAAGAGAGAGTGGGTAGTAATCGTGATGGAGTGATGCAAGAGGGAGAAATGTCATGTCCTGTGATATTAGGATGAATCAATTGAGGCGTGTGGTGTTTCGGCTTTATCTTCTCCAATGTGGTGATTATCACCTTCCCTTTCTTATTTCCATCATCATTGTCACTGCCGCAGCCATCCCTCACCCCAAAAACAACAATCTTGCTGTCTTTCTACAACTTCGATGAATGACTATAGATATTTTGTGATTTTTATTAATTGTTTTTCTTGTGTTACTTGGTTATATCTGATCAGAAATAAAAATGATGCGCATGTCAGCTTTAACGATTTTCATAGGATGATTTAGACTCAATACGGTGCTGTAGTGAAGGTGTTGAGATATGTTAATGAGACATAATATATACCAACAAAGCATTTGTGAAATATTTGTCAGCCTAAGGGATGCATCATGTTCATACACACCGACACAAAACAGAGTGACAAGAAGGAAAAACAGATACTTTCTAAAGGTAGCTCGAAGCATGATGATCACGATGAATGTTCCAAAGTACATGTGGAGAAAACTGTTTTGACAACAGCTCAATTGATCAACAGAATGTCTTTGGGTACTGGATTGAAAGTCTCATTGTCAGATGTTGAAACACAAAAATAGTGAGATCCTTTCATTGAAGGTATTTGAATGTTTATGTTTTGTGAAAGACAACAGTTCATCTGTAGGGAAGTTGGATTCCAAAACTGTGAAATTTATATTCGTGGGTATTCTGCTACTCAGAAGAATTATATATGTTGTAACTTGATTGAGAAGAGAACTTTCATGAGTATAAATGTGTTATTTAGAGAGTTTGAACCATATTACACTTTAGAGGTGAATTCACACCACCGAAGATATGGGGCAAGAGAGAGTGGGTAGTAATCGTGATGGAGTGATGCAAGAGGGAGAAATGTCATGTCCTGTGATATTAGGATGAATCAATTGAGGCGTGTGGTGTTTCGGCTTTATCTTCTCCAATGTGGTGATTATCACCTTCCCTTTCTTATTTCCATCATCATTGTCACTGCCGCAGCCATCCCTCACCCCAAAAACAACAATCTTGCTGTCTCCTGCAGCCCAACCCTTCCTGTTACCCATCCAGCCACCCAGCCAACCCACGTCTTTCAAGACAACTATATCAATAGAATGTCTTTGAGAGTACTGGATTGAAAGTCTCATTGTCAGATGTTGAAGCACAAAAATAGTGAGATCCTTTCATTGAAGGTATTTGAATGTTTATGTTTTGTGAAAGACAACAGGTCATCTGTAGGGAAGTTGTATTCCAAAGCTATGAAATTTATATTCGTGGGTATTCTACTACTCAGAAGGATTATATATGTTGTAACTTGATTGAGAAGAGAACTTTTGTGAGTATGAATGTGTTATTTAGAGAGTTTGAACTATATTACACTTTAGAGCTGAATTCACCCTTCGATGACTACACTTTAGAGGAAGAACATGACTACCCTTCGATGATTGAAGATATGATGCAAGCGAGAGTGGGTAGTAATCGTGATGGAGTGATGCAAGAGGCAGAAATGTCATGTCCTGTGATATTGGGATGAATCAACTGAGGCGTGTGGTGTTTTGGCTTTATCTTCTCCAATGTTGTGATTATCTTCGATTCTCTTGTCCTCTACAACCTTCCCTTTGTTATTTCCATCATCATTGTCACTGCCACAACCATCCCTCATCCCAAAAACAACATTCTTGCTGTCTCCTGCAGCCCAACCCTTCCATCCAACTACCCAAGCAACCCGCGTCTTTCAAGACAACTGTCGGTGTCCCATGTAAGCACCTACCCGCGTCTTTCAAGACAACTGTCGGTGTCCCATGTTCTTCCTTCTATCAGTGTATTTGAAGGTAGGTGCTGCTCCAACTATATCTCTTACAAGGTAGTGATTATTTTTGACTCTCCCCATCATCCGCAACCTCCTTCCCTCTGCTACCACCCTCGTTGCCATCACTGTTGTAGCCATCCGTCTTCCCAAAGACAACAACCTTGTTGTCTCCTTTAGTCCAACCCCTTTCCTTGCCAATCTAGCCGCCCAGACCACCCACCTCATTCCATACGTCAAATCCTCCCCATCTCTCCGTCCATCTCGTTACCATCATCTGCAACCTCCTTCCCTCTGCGACCACCCTTGTCGCCATCAGTGTTGTGTAGCCATCCATCTTCCCAAAGACAACAACCTTGTTGTCTCCTTCAACCCAACCCTTTCCCCTGTCAATCTAGCCGCCCAAACCACCCACCTCTTTCCATATGCCAAATCTTCCCCATCTCTCTATCTGTCTCGTCACCAAATCTCTCGACCACCTCCATAACAACCTACTCCTCAACTGCACTCTGCCAATCCAGCTGTTGTTTTTTCAGTGAAAGTTCTCTTTCGAGCCCCTACCAGCCAACTCCCACTTCCCCTGCTACAACCAACCCTTCCACCATGTGCCACCCTAGCAACAACCACTCTATTTTAGCCTTTCCCACTACTTTGTCTCTTAGTTAACCACCAACTTGCTTTCTTTCGACCATTAAGCCCTTCATACCATTATTGTCACTTAAACTTCAGCATCACTACCCTAAATTTTGTGTTGCGTCCTTTTGTTATTTTCTAATTCCGAGAGTTTTTTGTTGTAATCTCTAGTTGATTTCGGTAATAAAAATTGCATTTCTGTTGTCATTTGGGTTAACTCCGATATCAGATACTTTAGTGTTCAAGTCCATTTTTAACTCAAAAGCTCATGTCATTCCATATTTTTGAATCAGATAATTTTTAACTTTTTGATGTGGAACAATACTTAAAACTCCATATACCTTAATTATCTAAGTCATTACTCTCTTAAAAATAAAACTTTTCAACATCTAGAGTGTCACACAAGTTTTAAGCCCACGCACCAAGAGCCAACTCGGCCCATGAAAATGTTGTAGATGTTGCCCCAAATGTAGAAGTTAATGGCTGAACATCAACCTTTTAATATTTTTGAACCAACATTTTTTTTAATTATCCAACTTAAATTATTTACATTAGTCATCACTCCCCTTATCTTACAAGTTTAAATTAATGCTTTGAGAGCCAACAAAACCACATGGGGGTTATAAGAGTCACCTACTCTTGATCTTTGCTCAACCATAGTGGAAGCCGACTATAAAACTTAAAACTTATTATAAGTGATGACTAACCTTTTGATATTTTCAACCAACATAATTTTCAACTATCCAACATGGGACTAAATCCAAAACCTCATGTGTTGTTATAGTTGTCTACTTTCATGTGCACCAAGTTGTCTTTTTAAATCGATTATTAATGACTATAGCTATATTTGGCCCAAAAAAATAATAAGAATAATTAAAATTGTGTCAACTAAGTCAACCTAAGCTGTACCAACCAAAAACTAGGTCCTAGCTCAAACCTTTGGCTCAATTACCAAATCAGGGTTTGATAAAAATTTAAACCCTTCCTAGTTTACTTAACTAGCTGGAATACATCCTAGACCTGCCATATACCAGTATACACTAGAACTTCTCAAAGCCAAAAAAAGGTAGTAACTCTTTAAATAAACAATTAATTAAATGTAATATCACATAGAAAGCTGGATGGGTTGGCGGTACCTCTTGATGGCTTAATGTATTCATGTTGCTCTTCATAATTACGGGTAAAAGCAAATCATGAACGAGCATTAGGCAGTCTTTTGTAGGGGTTGCCACATCCATTACATAGGAGAGATATCTGACAATTGTTAGAAATTAAGATTATCAGCAGCTAGTGGAGTAAAAAGTTGTTGAAAGGATTGATTATCCAACTTGATGAAATATTACATTAACTCGCTAAAATATGCCAATCGGATGTAAAACAAATAAGCATGACATTCCTATTAGGATAAGGCGAACTATCTTAATCAGAGCAAACAGTGAAAGGGAATGCCCTCTTATTACCTTAATTTTGTGTAGGCATATGAAACTCCAAAATAGGTGGCAAATTCTGTCAACAACCATTGCCAAGATCCATGCAACGTCAAATTTCTCTGCTGAACATGTTGAGCTTTCATTGCAACCTCCATTACAACATCATATGCTACTGTTTCTGCTATTGAACCACACTGCATTGGCAGGAATTGTTAGGTCAATTTAACATAAGAAACAAAAGAAAAAAAATATCCTAAAAAAGAGCATGAGAAACAATTAGTTGTCATTAATGCAAAAAAAAAAAATGTAGAAATGTATGATTTTGTATTTGTGTGTGTTTCGCCATAGTATAAGTAGATAGTGGAAACAACAATAAATAACTTAATATAAGAAGGATTTAGTGCTCCACCCTAACAACCCTCAATAAGTTGGGGCCACCCAATTCATTAAGTAAATCGCAAAATAGTAGTTTTCATTGTATGTTTGGTCTTCACAATTGCATCTTCATTCTAGGGAAATATATAATGGAAATCGAAACAGTAAACCACCTAACATATAGAAACCAAGAAGATGTGACCTTAAGCAAACACTTGGAAGAAGAAAACAGCCATATTGGTAGCAAGTAGGGAGTTCGTTACCGGTACAATTTTCAGAAAAAATTAGGAAAATGTTAAAAAATAATAATAATAAAAAATCTAAAAATTTGTAATGTTACAAAGATGGTATCAACAACTATATGAGACCGTACAAGATACTAAAGTTTTGGCACCTTTTCATTATTCTCATCTGGGCTTGATTTGTAGCTCAAGTATACTTGCATTCGACCCACTAATAGATGTTCAGGTTCAACATAAATAGGCAACCAGCGAGTCTTTTCATTCTGCAATAAATAAATACATAATTAAATTTTCCAAGTCCATAGATTTGCCTGCCCTCCTTACATGAGTAGAGATTTGGGAAGGGCTTACAACATCAGAAATACTGGCCACTTGAACTACAGCTCTTCCACATGACTTCCCCTTGGAGTCATACACTTCAACATATAGATCATCTCCAATGCTATCAGGGAAGCTGTCATTACCATAAAACAAATGAGACATGTGGAACCTCTTTGACACATCAATAAAATTAAAGGAAATTTTATAGACATAGCATAGCACACAATTCTTACCACACAATTCTTACATATTTACATATCTCACTCCTAAACTTTCATATTTACATACATAGCATTTTGGTGCTTTAAACCTATGCATGGAAAAGTGTATTTCACTTTTAAAAAGTGGTACTGATGTAATTTTAAAGATTTCAGAGCTATGTGTGTAATATGAAAGTTTAGTTGTGAGATTCTTTTTTTTACGTGTGACATATGTAAATACATAAGTATTTTGTGCTATGTATCTAAATGCCCTCCAAAGTCCAGACACTAAGGAAGATAACTTGAAAACAATATTAGTTGAAAAAAATAGTATACAAAAGCATGAGCTTCGTCTGATGCAGGATCCAATTGGAAAGGTGGTGTCATATTTCACTTTTAAAAGGTGGTATTAATGTAATATTAAAGACTTCAGAGTTATGTGTGTAAATATGAAAGTTTAGTTGTGAGATTTCTTTTTTTTTTTTTAGGTGTGACATATGTAAATACACAAGAATTTTGTGCTATGTATCTAAATGCCCTCCAAAGTCTAGACACCAAGGAAGATAACTTAAAAACAATATTAGTTGAAAAAAATAGCATACAAAGCATGAGCTTCGCCTGATCCAGGATCCAATTGGACTGCTTCCTCTTTAATTCTACTTTTTAACTTCAACCGGCAAGTGTATGAAGGTGTTTGCATGCTGGTAACACCAACTTTAAAGAGAGCTGAACCTTTCTTTGCATACAGAGTACTAGCATTTACACAAGCTAAACTCTGTGCTGCTAAAGAGCTATTAGAAGGCAGACACAGTAAAAAGCGCAAATTACGAAGCGATTTCCATTCTGCGGCAAGCAATGTATGCAGGCTAGATATTGAACTTTGAAGAGATCGTATGTTCGCTGTAGATAAATTCATTGCTGAAATACTGCAGCCTGAAGGCATCTCTGGAGACATTCTGACTTTGTGGACTGTAGCAGGAGCAGGTTGAATATTTTAACATAATGATTTTAATTATAGAAGGATATTTGAAATGCAATGACAATTACATATGGTAGAGTATAAACTATTTCTTTTAACAATAAGGAAGAAATCTGAAGATAGATAGACTGTAAGTACCTTGAATCTTAATTTTTCCTATGATTTTTTTGGGCTTTGGCATGATTCCTTCAGAGGACGAACCAGAAGACTGTTGTCCTAGAAGCTCCGTTTCTGACTGCAGTAGGATTTGCTGCAAGCTGGGAAAAGATAAAGGAATTTAACTGTAATTTAGATTAGATGTTTCTGAAGGTTGGATATTGCAGGAGCTTAGAATAATTTAGAAATATAATCCTCAATTAGCATTACAAATTTACAATAATATGAAATTTTAAAAAAAGAGGTGAATGTTGTAAGACAATTACTAGAGTGATTGCCAATTTTCCATAAAATATAAGCCAATGAATCATGATAAAGTTGCTAATTTACCAATAAAAGTTTGACTTAACATATTACTTGAAGATAAAAAAGTAATGAATCAATAGTAGCACTATTCGACATGAAGCATAAAAATATACGCACCTTTTGTGTTTCTAGAAAAACTATTTTAGTATGTTTTTTGTGGCGTTCATACAAACCAATTTTGAAGGAAGCATACATGATATAACTCATGGACTCCAAGAACATCTGATGTAGAATAAAAATGGCTTCTCTATTCAATGAACATTAATTTTTTTCACGTCAATGAAGATTTTTTTTAGCACTCGATGATCATTTGGCATAATTCACTTCAAATGCATACAAGTATAAGTAACAAATTACACAAAGTGGAGCATGCTGCATATTAATCAGTTTTGACCTAACCTATGAAACTAAAAAAAAATTCTCAGCATTTCAAGCAAAAGAGGAGAGTTACACATGTTTGTATATAACAAATACCTAATTTTCAACGATTCAACATTGCATAATAAAATCTAGAAATCAAATTCTTACCCAAATGCTTTTCGCAGCAGAGCACATTCATTTTCCAAAAAAGAGGGTGCTTGCATGCAACCTCTAGCCCAGGAATGAAGACATAATCGAACGCATGCATCATATGCCAGCACACAATGCCAGGGCCCTTGTCCACTAAAGTCAATTTAGTAATGATAAATAATTATTCAATTAATATCATGGTAAAAAAACATCAAAAACCTATCCCATAGATTAACAGGACTCCTTAACTCTACCAAAAAAGTAACAGTTTTCTCATTAAGTAGTAACCTGGCGTGAAACTTAGGAAGTCGAGTACGTAATGAGCCAGACTTTACAGCTTGCTGTAAACCACTTGAAGAGCTCCTTCAAAACAAAAAGTTTACAAGTTAGTACAAGTTGAATTATATGAAATATGAAAACATCCAACAGTGAAGTTCAGCTAATAAGATAACGAACCTAGACTGCTTGTCAGTGATCTGGTTTTCATAATGGGCATTCAAAATTTCTTCCTTTATAAACGAACCATCCCAACTACTTGAGATAGGAGGTAAACAAGTATTAATTGATGGCACTTCCACAGCAGCATGGTCAGTTTCCTTCCCGTAGCCATCAAATGGAGGTGCACTTGGGATGTTGAGGTGTTTACCCTTTAGATACATATAAACGTATAAAGTAAATTATGCCATGATACAAGACATTTAGAAGAATGACACATCTAAATGTAATATTAGGAGAAAAAAGTGTAGTGGAATCAGTAAGATTTCAAAAATAGAGGAGGAAGAGTGAATATCCTTTTTCTGCATTTATTCGTCTCATTTTTATCCATTAATGCCGTATAAGCAAAACATTTTGGAAGTGTTCTCTTTAATTTATTAACTATAATAAATTCAGATTAAAGGAACTAATTAGTAAAGATGGGTTTAGCAGCATTTCAGATTAAAGGAACTAATTAGTAAAGATGGGTTTCGCAGCATACCAGGCAAAGAATAAAAATGAACAAGATTTCTTTTATTTAAATGACTCGATGCAAAACCATGCAGCTAAACAGTTTTTTTTTGACACGTCAATTTTATTAACATTTAAGCCATTGTACCCTCTTGAATAACATCATGAAACTTGGAACATGGTAATTATAACAGAAACATCATAATCCTCATTACGGAAGATTCAATTGGGCAATAATACAGAGGAAATTATCAGAAAACTTTACTTTTCCAACTTGGCATAATTACTTAAACTTTCATATTTACTTACATGATGTTCTAATCTTTAATATCACATTAAAAAATACTACTACAATTAAATTTCTAAACGTGAAGTACACCTTTTCATGCATCGCTTCATTATACCAAAGAGTTAGAAATGTAAATATCAAACTTTATGTGTGAGTGAAGTAAATACAAAGGAATTGTGTGGTATGCATGTAAATTTTCCTATTTTTTATCTGTAAAAATTTGTGGTTATCAAAAATGTCTTTAGGCCAAGTCTAAAAACAATCATATAAAGCTTATTCATCTGACTTCATACAACAAAGCAACACCAGCAAAATTCATTTGTTTAGAGAAATTTGCGGCTCTAAACATTAAGGATAAGAAAAACTGATCCAACAAATGCAACTCTAATAATGCCCACACAGTAAAGACTTCCAAAATATTGATTATATGATACTTTTACATGCTAACCTTCTCAGAATTAGAATCCCCGTCCTTGCAGTTACCGCTAGAATGAGATCCCTGGAAGGCGCAATTCCCTCCCAAAGACGCACTCTTTGCAGCATCAGAGTTTCCATCTTCTCTGCTCGCCCCTTGTAATGAAAATTCGATACTAGCATTCTTCCTCTCCACCTGCCCATTGAACCCAAAGCTTTCACCAGAATCCGACCACATTTCCTCCTCTTCAGCATACCTATTCATATCAACCAGTTTTCTCGCCTGAACTGTCCTCTGCTGTGCAGTATCTCGTGATGAACTATAACCTGAGTATCCATCACTTGAGGAACAATGTTGTTGAACAACTGAGTTCGCATATCTGCAGTGACCACTCGAAACTCCATTGGGAACCCTCTGCTTCGAGATGTCCTCATGAGGCAAAGAAGAAGAAGATTCTGTAGAGTGTCGACCAGCATAGATTTCCTCAGTATCGGAAGACTCGTCCATATCAGAATCAAAATCACTGTCTTCTTCCAGTGGTACAGCATAAGAAATTGGAATGGATCCAGTCGGAAGATGCCCACTTTTGAATTTTTCTGGAGGAGGAATATCGAGTCGGAAGGTGCTTGTTTTGAAGTCTTGGCTGGCATGTGTCCTTTGCTGAACATTTGAAATTTCTGCATGCTCCTAAGTTCAGAGAAAATTGTATGTTTTAAGCAAAAATTTTTTTTTTTTCCATAGAAGTTATTTTAATTTGACAAAACCTACTTCCTTAACCCATCGAAGGGCTTGGGCATCCAGTCCTTCGGTGAACATTGTGGATTCTAAGACAAGTTGCTATCAATGTTCCTGCGCTAAATTCAAAAGCCAAAAAAAATAAACAAAAATAAAATTCATCTTATATGTAAGAAATTAAATGAAAAACTGCTAAATTTCCCCCAAATGCTCCTTCCTAAGCTACATGTCACTGAAAAATAAAGAAAGAGAAGAATCCCGAGAGTTAGAAACCCTAATTGGATGGTTCAAATCAGAAAGGAAAATTACCTTTTAACGGGAGAAATGGTGAGGCTTTCGAGAATCACTGGAGAAGCCAAGATCTCCTTTATCCACAGAGCTACTCTGAATAAATTAAGCCACTTGAGATCTACAGAGTTCTCAGAAATGAAGTCGAAATCGGAGAAAGAGAGTGGGAGAGACAGCTAGCTGAATCGGAATTTTTGAAAAGGGGAAGGTGAACGTTGGGACGCCGACAGGGTGATGATGCTACGTGGCAGCGGAAAGTTCAAATTTCGTAACGGTCGAAACTCAGCGTGGCAGGAACCAGTAGTGGGGGCCACTCCTTCGCTAATCATGGTTTGCCGGTTGAATTAAAATTGGTCCAAAGTAGCAATCGTAAAACAGGTGTCAAAATATTTACGGTTGTAATGATACTTTTTTAGATTAATGGCATCTGCAGTAATCGGATGAGGTTTCTTTCCGACCCATGTTATTCGATAACTTCTACCTCAACGTGCCGTTGACCAATTGTGCAATGGTAGTTTTGGACTCGCTGTTCTCCAAGTATATTTTATAAAAATTGAACATTTAAATTTATCATGTTAAATAATTTAATGAAACATAGTTTTGATTAACATAATTCTATTGGTGACATTGAGCATTGGTATTATTATTCATGAGTTGTTAAATAAATTTGATTGTATATTTAATAATTTTAGTTTTCTTGAGAATTGTATGTTCGACCAATTAAAATGTAAGTTATTTCAGGACACTTTCAGGTAAGGATATAAGAAATAATCATATTTATTACATGAAAAAAATCTTAGAAAAAAAAAGGGGTTTGTGCCATTCAAAGTAATAGCTGTGGTTCATTTGCTGCTCTAAAAACTAGAAAATTGAAAATGGACAACAGAGAAAGAAAAAAATGACAACAAAACAACGACGCATCATTGGAATAAAGATTGGATCTAGTGTGTAGGCGGTGTTGGTTTGGGTTTGGACCTACAAGAAGGTGGCGAAAAGGCATTTAGTAAGCTGGAAACAACAGGGCGACAATTTCCATGCACCTTGACAACAAGTAGCAAAAATAGCTAAGAGAGGACTGTTTTGGGTGGCAGGTACAAGGGAAAAGGGGAAGAGATGCAGAAACAATGGAAAAAAAGATAAGGCAAATGATCAGAGAATTGAATACAATAATAAACATCACATGAAGACCAAGATATAGTTAGAGCACCACTTGGAATCCTATGATACAACTCGACGAGGAAAAAAATGACGTTGACGACCATTCCAAAGAAAATAATAGAAAAAACTAAACCATAAACAACAAAGAGGGCTCCACTCTAATTGGGTAGCAACCATAGACATAGAGAGGGATACCCGCACCCTCCCTTAACCTAGACCAAACCGGTTTAGGGTTCTAACCCTTATGTTAGTGTGTTTTGATAAATTTAGCTAGAATCTCAAAACAATGTATCAGATAATTCACTTTCATCCTATTGACCGTAGATAAGTTTTTCAACGTTTAAGTTTCTTAATAACCTTAAAATTATTTGATCTTTGGTCAGCTGGTTTCCTCTCATAAAACTGCTTCATTTGTCCACAAGTATGTTAAATTTAATTATTATTTAGCCTTCCAATTCATGTGCCAAAATCATTAGCAACATTTCAAGTATTTGATATAAGCTTAAGTGAACTTGAATTGGATCACCTTAAGCATCATTAGATTTGTCTTATCAAGCTGCTTAGTTTGACTTTGAAATGTTTCTTACTAAAAATGCATTGAAATTTTTAGCTGGTGATAAAAATTTTCTTATAACACATAAGCTTTCTCCTATTCTTGGATGTCGATGCTTATGTTATCTAACTGATAAGTCATTGAAAGTATCTTTATCATAATTTTTGATATTCTAGAAGTTTGTAAGTTGATTGGATAAGAATCTTTGACATTTCCAGTCATCTAAATTTATTCATAGGTGCTTCATGGTGTTTTGCAAATTCCAAAATTGAGTCAAGAATATTGAAAACTGATAGAATAAACAGGTTTGACAAAAGTCTTACCATTGTTGGCAGTGGTTGCATTCATTTGAGTGTGCAGGCATGTGTGCATGGGTGCACGTGCGTGTGTACGTGTATGCGAGCAAGTGATCCTAATGGTGTGCCTAAGGATTTATCAGGGTGTTCAGGTGAGTACGAGCGTGAGAAGAGTCTAGCGCCATGCTTGAAGGCACGTGGGTGTGGCGACATGTATGCCCGTGCTCACGTGCATACAAGTGCTTTCATAGGAACAAATGCATGCGGTTGAGTGTGGTGTTGGTACATCCGTGGGGTGGTTACGTTAGCAGAGACGCGTGCTCTAAAGTAATTTCTAATATGTAACTCTCGTTATTCTACTTTATGTTTTTTGATAAAGTTATATTTGATTTAATTAAGCTTCACTAATAATCTTTAACAATCATTTAAATATTTTATAGTCAAATTTATTAGCCTTGATAAAAATAAAAATAGGGTGATAAATATCAAATTATGAAACCAAATCATTTTTTACAGAATAATCACTCCATGGTCCCGTTAAGCCTGTTGACTAATGCCCAAAACAATTATTTGAAGAGTCGTACCACTTTACACACAACTAAATAAAAGCATTCAATTTATAAATCTTCAATTATTACTTTATATATAACATCATCAATATTGTTGATATTTTAAAATATAAGTTTTATATGAATAAAATTCATTGCATTGATAAGTTTTATATGAATAAAATTCATTACATTGAAAAGAAATAAATGGAGGAAAAATAAATATTATCTAAAAAAAAACATTATAACTACATAAATTGATTCCAATAAAACATAAATTGATTCTATTTATTGGAATTCACGGAAAAGAAATAAATGGAGGAAAAATAAATATTATCTTAAAAAAGAAACATTATAACTACATAAATTGATTCTATTTATTGGAATTCAGTCAGTAATAATTAAAAATAAATTGTTATTATAAACATAAGAAAATTCGCATCATGTGAATAAATATACAAATGAGATATACCTGGCAAACCTATAAAATAGACCTAAAATAAATTATTAGCATTATGCCCCTAACAAAGAAAAAATATATTTATTTCTTAAATATTAATTATTTACCTTACATTGAACCATACGAGATTCCAAGTATACTTGAAGTTTATTTAGTAATGGCTAGTGGATTTAACTCAAATGTCCGACATGATACAAACTCATGATTAACTACAATAGCTTAAGTTGATAGTGAAAGGGAAAAAAAAAAAAAAAAAAAAAAAAAAAACATATATTCAAGTTTCACTATATAAGTTATTTTATATATTCTAGTTAAATTAATTATCATTAAAATGAAATGAAATCTATAATTGTAAGAAACCAATTTTTTTTTTTAAATATTGGTTAATTATATATTCTAGTTAAATTAATTATCATTAAAATGTGTAGTAAACCAAATTTTTTTTTAAATATTGGTTTAGGGTAAAACACAATAGTTTTTCTTACACAATTGCAATTCAATACTAATCTAAAATAAATGCAAAACTCTATAAATATAAATTCTTCTTATTAAATGATTGGAGAGTGTTGGAGCGAGGAGGGTAGTGTCTTTTAGATCGAGGGTTCATGTGATAGGGAAAGGCTCCGTTGATTTAGTTTTAAGTAAGGCAAATCGGTTCCATGTAAAATAATCAAACCTTGCATGCTAGGCTTCATTGAGGTTAAACTTTAGACCTATTTGTTATGAATTATCTTTGCAAAGTGTTGGATCCGATCAACGGTCATCAAAATTTTCATATAATAATAATAACATAATATTGGATTATGATTGACCTAACTGTAATGTCACTTCAATTTTTTCTCAGCCATGCTAAAATAACAGTATAATTATTTTTTTATGCATGGCTAAATCTTCTTTGAATTTTTTTTTAGTCATCCTTAAATCGTGAAAAAAAAAACTATACAAATGACTTTGTTTGCACCCCTTTTTGTTCCTTGGAGGAAACCCTCTTCATAGTTGACTCTTTCAGAACTCATTTCCCAAACAACCTCTGCTTACAAGAGACAGAGCAAGGAAAAAAGTAAGAACGAAACAGAGCAAATATGAAGAAAAAACTAACAAAATTTACAAAAATGAATATATCCTATAAAATAGTCATTGTAACATGAAACAAAGAAGAGTGATAAAAAATGAATTAGACAGTACTCAACCAAATTAAATTTATGAGAAAAGCCTTATACTAGGCCTTTGTATTCGAACAAGAGTTATAGGTTTAAAAAGACATCCTGCAATGATGTATCTTCCTATTTAATAGCAACTTATGTGATACCCATGAAGACTTTCGGGTAAAATGTGTTGTGCTTGCTTGATGGACATCAATGTGAATTTTACTATCTCAAATAGAGGAAAACCGATGTTGTTCGGATGGAACTAAGCAACTAGGAAGAAGAGTGACCACCATAACTTATTGGTAACCCATCCCTAAAAAAAGAGGTCTTAAAATATGTCTATAAGTATTCGATGAAAGAATTTGAAGGACCCAAAGCGAGGCTAGCCAATAGTAGGTAGAAAAAGTTCTAAACATGCAACAATAACCTGATCAGGATTCTATGGATCCATCATCCAATACTATTAAGATTTTAAATCTACTTGGTCGTGAAGTTAGTCAATTTAACATGACCAGAAAATATTTACTAACATCCTATGTGTTGTTTCATCCAATATAACTGAATAGCCCTGAAGTTAAAGGAAGATAAATTTATTTGGATTGAAAAATGAATAGTAGGAATTTCAACTAGCAAGGGTATTTCGGGGATTCCTATTAAGTGTAAGGAGAGTGAATGACTTGGCTAACAAAACCAAAGCCACCCCACAAATGACAAGACTCCGTCTGGCTTAGGATAGTTCTTAATACCCTAAACCAGGCTAGACTACCACCTAAGCATATAAAACAAGTGTTTGGTCAGTAAGATTGGAGAAGCAATGACACTTCCCCTTGAGGAATGTAATATTAAATCTTAAGCATGTAGGCCATATTAATATTCTCAGAAGATGAATCCAAGCAATAATGATCATATTAAAACTACCCCGAAGGCCATGTAAGAAAGCAAAATCAGAAAATAAAGTGGTAATTTAAAATCTTGAATTTTAATCATAAGTTTTATTAGAGTAAATCTTCTAAGTTAAAACTATTG